CCACTCGGTTTTCATCATCACAGCACAAGACACCTCTTGCAAATGTGTTAACCCTTTTTCATTGGATTGACACATTTTCCCCACCCTTTTGCAGAACAGTTCACACGGATGTCATTCAAGCAGTCAAAACTCCATTGTTTTAGCTATGGTTACCAAACAGAAACAATCTGTTCCTAGCTATTAGAAACTACCTACATCAGTATGAAATCACTGAAGCACCTGTTTGACACTCCTTCACACAAATCTTCAATTAGCAATCAGTCTGCAGGCCTTAAAAGGTGCAGCGTCTGTGTTGTTCTTTGCCAACATAGATGGAAGAGGTCTAAGGCAGATGAGAGTGAGAGTAAGAGGTAGAGGGGTCCGAGTGCGAGGTGGAGATATAGTTTGAAGGCCTCTGGTTTCTGATAAAATTCGGGCAACTTTTATTGATCACGTTATCAATCATGGCCTTTCACTTAGAGAGGCTGGACAAAGAGTCCAACCTGTTCTAAACAGAAACACTGTCGCAGCCATTGTCAGAATTTTTTGACAGGAAAACAGGTAATGTTGCTGTACAGTATATACAGAAATATCTTCAGTGATATACTTTATGTAATTGTTTCCTCATTCCCATTACATGTATTCTTTATAGAATCCAAAGGCTACCATTCTCTGGTGTTAGAGGGAGAATTTTTAGTGCTGAGCAGGGAGGAAGCAGTTGTGAACATGGTTGTGGCAAACAATCCCATAAGGCTGTGTGAAATCAGGGCAGCAGTGATCGCAGATCAGGGCATGTTTAGGAACATCAACAACGTGAGCGTGACCACCATTGACTGCATCCTAAGAAGGAACCATATGGCCATGAAGCAGCTCTATACAGTTCCATTTCAAAGGAACTCTGACATTGTGAAGGAGGCCAGATGCCAATATGTGGAGGTAAGGAAACATTACTACAGCATACCGTAATGCCTTGTCATATCATGCAGTTAGAGTCAACTGGAGTAACTTTTCATTGTCAATTTGCCTTTTTTTACTTAGAGAATAATGGAGCTTGAAGCTGAGGGGGCACGTCATGTCTTCATTTATGTTGATGAAGCCAGCTTCAATCTCTGTAAAGTGAGGAGACGTGGAAGGAACCTCATTGGGTACAGGGCCACTATCACAGTTCCAGGACAGGGGGGCACCAACATAACCATGTGTGCTGCCATCTCCAATGATGGTGTCCTATGCCATATCCCCACTATTGGCCCATACAACACCAAGCACCTCATAACATTCCTGAATGCATTTCATGAACGGCTGATCCCACCTGAGGAGAGAGGGCTGTTGAGGGGCCCCATCGTCAAGACAGAAGAGACTGAGTATCAATAGTGGCTATTTCTTATAAGATAAGAGATTCCTTTATATGTCCCACAATAGGGAAATTCCAAAAATTATACTGTACAGTAATAGATTTTTATACTTTACTCTAATAGATTTTATTTTGATTTACATGTATTTTGTGTAATATTTACAGTATTTCAGTTTTCAGCCACAGTTTAATAAGAATCAATGGAATCAATAAAATTTGCATCAAAGCATTTCTGATTCTGGATCCAATTCTTTGCAAGAACGCAAATTTGACAACAAATGGCACTGGCATGAAAGCTACGTACAGTAATAGGCTACAATGACAAGCAATGGTGCACTGATTCGAGTGCTGTATTTTGTATTTTGTGTCCACTGTGTAATGGTTGATTGGAAGAGCTCATACACTTGTTTGCAATTTGTGGTGTTTGAAGGCAAAATTTGCTTTTGTTTCCGTATTTTAAATGCTTTGGCACAGTTAGAGCCTTTTGCAAACAAAATGTGTCATTTTGACCATGAGTGCCACTGTTTTGGCCTGTGTGTTAACTGTTTTGAAAATGTGGAGTTTGAGGTTACTTCTGCATCAAAGCAATTAAGAAAAACTGTAATATATGTTGTCCAGTTCAAAACTCAGTGACTGTTGTAGAGTCATAACAAAGCTGCTGCTGCCATCTACTGGTCAGACTGACATTGTTCTACAGCTGCTAATGGCAATGAGTTTGAATGTAGGAAGACCAAAGTAATAAAGTAATCACACAACTGCAAACTGTTATTAATCACTAAAGTATCTGCACTGTCACAGCTGATAGGAATGGGCACTAAATACGTTTTATTAATGTGTTTATTCTTGTTCTCTGTGTGTGTGTGTGTCAGGGTGGGATTAAGGTAAATATTACAGTCCGGTGCTCCTACAGAAAACAACATTGCGTTTATAGATAGCATAACTTACTTAAAGGACCAGTGTGAAGGATTCAGTGGCATCTAGCCCCTGAGAATGAGAATGGGATGTAAATTGTGCAGGAGAAACTACGGAAGAACATGGCGGACCCCGCCAGAAGAGGACCCACTCCCTCTGTAGATAAAAAGTCTCATTAGAAGGTAACAAAATGATTCTTATATTCAGCTGAACTAATGAAAACACACCTATGGATATTATATTACAGTAATGTGACACACTGGAGCTTTAAGTTACATAACGTACCTCACAATCTTTTCCTAAAAACACCTTTTTCATGTTGCACTAAATCAATTATATTTTATAATATATAATATCAATATTACATCACTAAGATTCAGAATGTCCATCAACATGGTTCCAATAATCTTTTTTCTTTATCAGAAACTTGCTATGTGGGAAGTAATGAAGTACAAATACTTTGTTACTGCACTTACGTAGTTTTTTCAAGTATCTGTACCCTGAGTATTTACTTTTCTGACAACTTTTTACTTTTACTTTTACATTTTTACACAAATATCTGATATATATATATATATATCTCCTTACATTTTAAAAACAGGCTCATTACTTTAGCTTGAATTCATATAACTCTTTTTTGCACAATTGCACACCTTCCCAACATAAAGACTGGTGCTCCTCACACATGACAAAAGTAAAATGAGTATCATAAAGATGCATACAGGGTTTTGGATTCCGTGACGTGCTACGGTAAGCGTACAGCCTCATTCCCGGTTTCCTTCCTGCTCTGTGTACACTGTTTGGTGCTGTAGCTCTGTCAGTGAACGCTAAATCTAAATCTGTTTTACTCGTTACAGCGATTATTTTCCCGCTTAACATTTAAACGTAGACTAGTTCTACCTAAACACTCGGAGTTTCTCCTTCTTTTAGCGACTTTTCACTACTTTCAAAGTTTTTCATACACGCTAGTTTCATTAGCATTAGCAGTTAGCTATGGCTTCTCCCTCTCCCTCTCCTCTGTCCTGCTCAGTGTGTCAGATGTTCAGTTATTCCTCTGCCTCCTTTAATAATAATGGTACCTGTATTAAATGTAGTTTATTTACTGCGCTGGAGGCGAGGCTTAGTGAGTTAGAGGAACGGTACCGCACCACTGAGATATCTTTAGCCGCTATAGTTAGCCATCCCCCAGTAGCCGGTGCGGTCCGACCGAAGGTAGCTTCTGCAACCTTGTTCTTAGTCTTTCTCACCCAAACTGGAAAACACTGCAGCCAGTTCTATTTGTTATAGTGTACCGCGCTCCTGGACCATACTCTGATTTTATATCTGAATTCTCAGAGTTTCTATCAAGTTTAGTCCTTAAATCAGATAAAGTAATTATTGTAGGTGATTTTAATATTCATGTGGATGTTAACAATGACAGCCTTAGTAATGCATTTATATCATTAATAGACTCAATTGGCTTCTGTCAGAGTGTAAATAAACCAACTCATTGTTTTAATCACACTCTTGACCTTGTTCTATCATATGGCATTGATATTGAACATTTAATAGTCTTCCCACATAATCCTTTCCTATCTGACCATTATTTAATAACTTTTGAATTCATACTATTAGATTATAACCCACTAGGCAAAACTTCCTACAGCAGATGTCTATCTGACAGTGCTGTAGCTAAATTTAAGGAGGAGATTCCTTCAGTGTTTAATTCAATGCCATGTCTGAATTTAACAGAGTCCTATAACGACTTTAGTCCCTCTGAAATTGATAATCTTGTCGATAGTGCTACAGGCTCACTACGATCAACATTAGACTCTATCGCTCCTATAAAAAGGAAATTATTAAAACATAGGAGACTAGCACCTTGGTATAACCACCAAACCCGCCAGTTAAAACAAATAGCTAGAAAATCTGAAAGGAAATGGCACTCTTCCAAATTATCAGAATATTGCTCAATCTGGCAATATAATCTTAAAACTTATAGAAAGGCCCTCCGTAATGCCAGAGGAGCCTATTACTCAGCACTAATAGAAGAAAATAAGAATAACCCTAGGTTCCTCTTCAGCACTGTAGCCAGGCTGACTGAGAGTCACAGCTCTATTGAGCCACATATCCCCATAAACTTAAGTAGCAATGACTTCATGAGCTTCTTCTATAATAAAATTATTACTATTAGAGAGAAAATTAATCACCAACTGCCATCAACAGTTATCAGTGGCTCTCCAAGTTCAGGGACTTCTACTAATGTAAACTTAGATATATATTTAGACTGTTTTTCTGCTATCGATCTTCATCAGTTAACTTCAATCATTTCTTCATCGAAGCCATCAACCTGTCTATTAGACCCGATCCCAACTAGGCTGCTTAAAGAAGTTGTTCCCTTAATTGGCACTTCTTTACTGGATATGATTAATCTTTCTTTATTATCAGGATATGTACCACAGTCCTTTAAAGTAGCTGTAATTAAACCCCTTCTTAAAAAGTCCACTCTTGACCCAGGGGTTTTAGCCAACTATAGACCGATCTCTAACCTTCCCTTCCTCTCTAAGATTCTGGAGAAAGTAGTTGCCAAAGAGTTGTGTGACTTTCTACATAACAATAGTTTATTTGAGGATTTTCAGTCAGGATTTAGAGTTCATCATAGCACAGAGACAGCTCTGGTTAAAGTTAATAATGACCTTCTGACTGCTTCTGACAATGGACTTGTCTCTGTACTTCTCTCACTTCTTCCCCGGAGTTCTTGTGCTTTCTCGTCTTGCAGGTTCTCATGGATCCTGGTGGAGCCTCCTGCCATGGTCCTGCTTGACTGCCATTGCCAATATCACTGATATTAATGTTATAATTTTTATAAGTATTATTATTGCTACGGTTACTGTTGTTGCTGTTGTCACTGCTCATTGTCCCCAATCGTTGCTGTTGTCATGTTCATCATCATCAGTCACTGTTGTTTCTGATGCAACCACACACACACACCCACCCAATCAGAGCTCCCTGTGCTCGAGTGGTGTCAGTCACATGAGATATGAAGACAGTGTGGCGCTGGAGGAGGACAGACTGCTGCACAGGAGCCTCCTCTGTGCTGCTCCACCATGAGCTGATGGATCGTAATGTTTCTGCTGTGAGAGTTTTCACTCTGTCAGCGTTCACTGAGACGCTGAATCACAGAGTCTCCGTCTTCTCTCTGACTTTACTGTGTTACTGTGTGATCCTGTTTATCAATGTCTCACTCGTATTGACCATTATCTCAGACCACACCCTGCACAAGCCCATGTACATTTTATTATGTGTGTGTTGCATTAACGGACTGTACGGGACGGCAGGTTTCTACCCAAAGTTCCTCGCCGACCTGCTGTCGTCCTCTCAGGTCATCTCCTACGGCGGGTGTCTCTTCCAGGCGTTTGTGATGTACTCGTTTGTTTGCAGCGACACTTCCATCCTCGCCGCCATGGCTTACGACCGCTACCTGGCCATCTGTCGGCCCCTGCGGTACCACGCCGTGATGACGAAGAGGAGGCTGTGTGAGCTGGTGTGTTTCTCGTGGTTAGTGCCTTTCTGCATTTTCTCTGTTAATATCCTGCTGACGACCCAACTGACGTTCTGTGATATGAACATTCAGAGGCTCTTCTGTGTCAACTGGATGATTGTGAAACTGGCCTGCCCCGACATGGACACGGTTGTTAATGAAGCATTTGCATTAACCACTCTTTCTATTTATATTTGTCACTGGTTGTTCGTTGTTTGGACGTATATATATCTGGTTCAAACGTGCATGCGCTCCAGAGAGGACAGGGTAAAGTTCATACAAACGTGTGTTCCCAATCTAATCTCTTTACTCACTCTTTTTGTCACTGTGGTGTCGGATCTGATGCACATGAGATTCGCCTCCAAAGATTTACCTCAAAGCTTCCAGAACTTCGTTGCTGTGGCCGTTCTCGTTGTTCCTCCTGTTATCAATCCGTTGGTGTACGGATTCAAACTCACCAAAATCCGCAGCAGAATCCTTGTTTTGGTTCACATGAGACAAAAATCACCTGTTTGATCTCTAATGTGCACATTTCACTGTTGAGCTGCTCCTTTATTTCACCCTCATCTTCAAATGAATCCTTTCTTTTGTTCTCAAATAGAGTTCAGATTGAAGCTTTAAACCTGGAGATGACTTTATTATCTATTTATCTATATTTCCTGTATTCTGTGGACGATATTCAGAGAGAATAACTCATGCTGGGTGTATACAGAGACTCTCACTGACTACCTTCACATGCTCCAAATATTCCTGTTTCTGAATAACATTATATTCCTAGTGAGCTTGGCTAATGAAAATGAATATTCCACTATTATTCCTGTTTACATGCAGCTGTACATACTCATATTATAACCAATAGGTGCAGACTGAGGCCTTGGATGATCTTAGACTCAATCTTGTAGTCTTTTATTAGAAAATCTTCTCGCTACAATGCATATTACAATTATATATGGTAATAATTATATTACAATACATACTTCAGGTAGTTAATGGATGTCTGTTCTCATTTACCATCCGTGCTCGATATTGTCATATCTGGAATAATATTGGAAAATGATTCATGCGAATGAATGAATTTGACATGGAAATAAAAGTGAAATTTACCCAAAAACATTCAGTCTATGTCTCATTCTTTCACTAAAACAAATGATTATATATCAAATATCAGTACTTTAAGATACTAAGTATATTTTGTCCTGTCAGATTGGCTGAACAGTGAGAGTGATACAGGCTTTCACATCCAGCAGAAGGAGTATGAATGGATATGAAGGATATTGATGTTGGGAAGGCGCTCAATGAAGCAGAAACTAATACAAATAATCAATAATTTCCCTCAAATGAATTCAAACTAAAGTCGGGAGCCTTTTTTTAAAATTGAAAGTTTAGATATTTGTGTGAAATGTAGGAAGGAAAAAACAACTTATTTAGTATTTTGTTGCTTATTTCTACATTAAAATGTCTTTAAACTCGGATTTATGTTACATATTCAAACATATATTTATTTTTAATACAATATATATATTTATTGTTAATACTCTGCAGATGTGATTTTCATTATGGGAGCCGTTATTCAACTGGAGGAGCTGCAGCCATCTTTTCTTCCATCTGCCTGTTTCTGAAGGATCAGTGTTAATCTGTGAGGAGGCGATCCAGTGACCATCAGCCTGTGATAACCCCAACACACACAAAATAACACACACACACACACACACACACACACCTACTCACACAACAACACACACACACAGACACACACAACAACACACACACACACACACACACACACACACACACACACAGACACACACAACAACACACACACACACACACACACACAGCTGATATCGGCCTCTTGAAGATCCAGATGTTGCAGCAGGATTTAATGCCTCCTGTTATTGTGTGTTTGTGTTTGCCTGCTGCTGTCTGACCTGTGTGTGTGTGTGTGTGTGTGTGTGTGTGTGTGTGTGTGTGTGTGTGTGTGTGTGTTTTATGTTAGTGAGTGTGTTTGTGTGTGTGTGTGTGTGTGTGTGGGGCTAAAAGCAGCAAAGAGTTAAGAAGCTTTGGGATCTGTCGAGGTACTTAAAGTGAGTGACAGAGCGAGAAAATGATGAGGAAGCTGTACGATGAGAGTGAGAGACGGTAAAGAGACACCAAAGGAATAGATGGAGTGAGGAGGACGAGAAGACGGAGGTCGGGTACAGAAACAGGTCTTTAAGATCCCAGAAGAAAGCGAAGGAAGGAGGGAAGAGGGGGAGGCAGAGAGGGAGCCGGAGAGGTTAGTGGTGGCTGGATTAAGGCGGGTTAGAGAGGATTACAGTCTGTTTTGGTTTGGTAGTAAAATCACATCCAGTCAGTAACCACTGGCTGCTGCTGACACACTGAAACATCCCCGCAGGGCAACCTGGACGGAGGAAGAGGAGGAAGAGGAGGACAGAGAGCAGGTGAGTGGCTCTCAGGTGTGTCTGTGTGTGTGTGAGGAGTTTTTCTTGCTAAAATCTGCAGCCATGCTAGCTGTGAGCCTGAATGCTAGCATGGTGATGTTTATCAACTACAATGTTAATTCAGTGTGTTAGCATGCTAACATTAGCTAATTAGCGGTAAACCGACAGCTGAGGCTGATGGGAACGTCAATAAAGTTCTTACAGTTCATCCTGAATGTCTGAACCACGTTTCATCACCAACAGTCGGGATAAACCCAGAGGAACTCCTCAGACCCGATATTACACTGCATCCTTTATTACCTTTACTCCTTTATCCTGTTACCTTCCTGATTCGTTCCAAATGATGAACTGATGCTCTGAGGTCTTTTTTTCTCCTTTTTGCAGTTCATAGTCCCACGTAAGAGACAGACATGTTAGCTTAACATCACTGTTTGCATCAGACAGTTATTGACACATATAACGTACCTTATTAACATGCCCTGCTGCTGCTCTCGACTGGAGCTACACTGACAGTCTCAAACTCTCCCTGTATATTATACTTCACTGTGTCCTTTCAAAATAAAACGTCTGTTTCAACAGGAAACAACAAGGTAGATGTGAAGTTTTTACATGTGAACCATACTGTATTGGGCTCATTTACATCAAGAATGACACAGAAAACTCTCACAGAAATTCCTTCGTGGACCTCAACTTGAATTTGATTACTTTCAAGAAAACTCGACTTGACAAAATGAAAAAAAGACTAATACCAATGATTCGTGACTTCTTTCATTTGATACCATCCCCCCAACCCGAAGCACCCAGAGCAGACCATTCCCATCTGGGCTGTTTAGTAATGATGTGTTTAAACAGACGGGAGTGTTCACTCAAAACAAGATGAAAACAAATTGTTCTAAATTAGCTGCAACAAGTTTCTGAACATGCATGTAAACATGTTCTAGTAGACCCACAATATAAAGTATGAACCTGAAAGAGAGCATCATATAGAGTAATATGTTATCACTCTATGGTTTATTATTACATTGGTGAGGAGTGCAGTTAGAGCTAATGCCCCCAACCACTAACCCTAGGGGGGTTAATGGCATTATGACTTGTTTATTCCTCGAAACTCAGAGTTTAGGACCCGGGACTTGACTTGGGACTTGAGATTTACTTGAGATTTGCAAAACAATGATGAAAACTGATGAGAGCTACAAATGTCAACCTCATGGTGGCGCTAGAGGAGAAGATCACCAGGGTTGTTAGCGTACATCTTCTGGGCACCATGAGTGTCTCTTTCCTGAGTGTTGTTCCATCAGTTACTATAAATTTCCTTCCTGTTGAAGAACTTTCCATTGATTAGAAACCTACACCAGCCTTCCTCAGTGCAGCTTCACTGGAGTCCGTCAGGAGAAATAAACGTAAGTTCATGAATGTTGTAGCGTTTAGTCCCAGTTGACAAATTGAGCTGACCAACAGTGAGCTTCAGTTATATCCAGACCTGCTGCTGTAATTGCACTACTTCTGATTAACTAATTACGTTCTCAAATTATAAATTTAAATTTCCGATAGCAGAAATTCAATTCAATTTTCAATTTGATTTCAGTTTTAATTGTATAGCGCCAATTCATAACAGAAGTTATCTCAGGACACTTTTCAAATAGAGCAGGTCTAGACCGAACCACAACTGGAAGCTGGTTCCAAGGAGCTTGGTAACTGAAGGCTCTGGCTCCTGTTCTACTTTTAGAGACTATAGGAACCACAAGCAGCCCAGCATTCAGAGAACGTAGTGTTCTAGTGGGGTAATAGGGTACTATGAGCTCTTTAAGATATGAAGGGGCCTGACCATGAAGAGCTTTATAGGTGGAGAATTTTAAATTCTATTCTAAATTTTACGGGAGCCAGTGCAGAGAAGCTAGTACAGAAGAGATGTGATCTCTTTTTCTAGTTCCTGTCAGTACTCGTGATGCAGTGTTTTGAATTAATTGGAGCGTTTTAATGGACTTATTGGGGCAACCTGATAATAAAGAGTTGCAGTAATCCAGCCTTGAAGTAACAAATGCATGGATTAGTTTTTCTGCATCTGTCTGTGATAGGATGTGTCTAATTTTTGTAATATTACGTAAATGAAAGAAGGCAGTCCTAGAGGTCTGCTTCATGTGGGAATTAAATGACAAATCCTGATCAAAGATAACTCCAAGATTCCTGACAGTGGTTCTAGAGGCCAAGGTAATGCCATCTAGAGTAACTTTATCTTTAGACAGTGAGTCTCTAAGATTTTTGGGGCCAAGTACAAGAATTTCATTTTTTCTGAGTTTAACATCAGAAAATTGGAGCTCATCCAGGATTTTATGTCCTTAAGACATGTTTGTAATTTAGATAATTGATTAATTTCATTGGGCTTGATTGATAGATATAACTGCGTATCATCTGCATAACAGTGGAAGTTAATGGAGTGATTCCTAATAATTTTGCCTAAAGGGAGCATATATAAAGTAAATAGTATTGGTCCAAGTACAGAACCTTGTGGAACTCCATGACTAACTGTAGTATTTATTCAAGATTCATCGTTAACATGTACAAACTGCAAACGATCTGAAAAATCAGAATCAGAATCAGAAATACTTTTATAAATATGACTTAAACCAGCTTAGTACAGTTCCTTTAATGCCAATTTGATGCTCAAGTCTCTGTAAAAGAATATTATGGTCAATGGTGTCAAATGCAGCACTAAGATCTAATAATACAAGTACAGAGACAAGTCCATTGTCTGAAGCAATCAAAAGGTCATTATTAACTTTAACCAGAGCTGTCTCTGTGCTGTGATGAACTCTAAATCCTGACTGAAAATCCTCAAATAAACTATTGTTATATAAAAAGTCACACAACTCTTTGGCGACTACTTTCTCCCGAATTCTTAGAGAGGATGGGGAGGTTAGAGATCGGTATATAGTTGGCTAAAACCCCTGGGTCAAGAGGGGGCTTTTTAAGAAGGGGTTTAATTACAGCTACTTTAAAGGACTGTGGTACATATCCCGATAATAAAGAAAGATTAATGATAATAAAGAAAGATTAAGATTGAAATGGACTGAAAACAGCGGACAACTGCAGACAAACTCGTCCCAGCGTATCCCATCATCAATCTAACATCACAGACAGTTCAGTGCATTCATCAATTAATTATTAATTAACAAATTACTGTAGTAAAGCTCAGTTAATGTTCACATTATCTCCTGAATCCTCCTATCTACTAATTCACATTAAATATAGTTTACAGTAGTGTTGTCACAATACCAAAATTATTGTTTCGATACCGATACCAAGTCAAGAATTGCGATTTCGATACTTTTTCGATACTTTTCCTGAAAAGGTGAAACACTCTCAAATATCATTGCTGTGCTTTATTTTAAAACAAGGACAACATTTTAATCAAATAGCACACTAATGAATGAACATGAACAAAATATGAAATATCAAAATATAAAAAATAAATTAGAGAAATGACATTCAAGGTAAAAAAAATAATACATTTTGCAGCATTATCTCAGTTATCATAAGAAACATAAGAGAAAACATAACTTTATCTTGATTCTGAACTTTGAATAAAAACATGAACAGTGATTTTATTAAACAATGTAAACATTCAAAAGATTAAATATAATAATGCCTGGGGTACTTGTTGTGCTGCTCA